TCTCAAGACGCCTCGAGTCTCAATTTGGAGTAGAGCCCAGTTGGAGGCGATAAAGCAGTGGAACGGAGAGAATAGTGCCGGACAAACGGACTTCTCTTGTCAATACGCAATCCGGCACAAATTAACGCTACCATGCCACGAGCTGGTCTGGCACGAGGAGAGAGTACACAGTTCTCAGGCAGGCCAGGGAGGCACAATGAGACGATAGGCAGAAGAAGTCTCCAGGGTCAACCAAAAGTATCACAGGGCCGTGGGAGATTCGAGCTCACTTGGCTACCAAAAAATGGCATACGCACATGCGAGCCGACTCAGATGGTGAGCCTTCAGTACTGCTGCGGTCATCTGCCTATCTCTAGACAGGCTCACATGAGCAATTTAAATTCGGGTGATAGTCACTGACAAGCAGAAGAACTACATGCTGTCGTCTTTATAGATTGGAGGAGGGTTGCGAAAAATAACTCGTCGGTTGGAAGAAGAACGGAAAAAATATTAGCCAAAAGTGTGGTAGATTGAAATCGGGCGGTTATCAGGTCCCTTGAAATGGGGCTCGCGATTGCCATCAATTAGTACAGACTGAGCCTAAAACCAGATATGCAGTGGCCAGTTTTCGAGACAATCAATAGATTCTGTTCAAGAAATTAACTCATCTTAGGTCGCATAAGATAATGTGGGATTGATGGTAGAGTTTTTCCTCAATGACCCTACAGTGCCATTGAGGCTACAATTTCTTGCCTGCTAAAGCTTCTTCTCACCCGGGCTGGGCTACAGCTTCGACCTCGTCTGGGTCTCATCAGCCATACCAGCCGGACTCATGAGGTATATCCGATATTTGATAGACTTAATTATGCAACCTAAGATTGTACCGGTCAATTTTGATCGCTCTGTACGGAATATGGGTGGCTATATCTCCGATTGTGCATAAGCTCGGGTCAATTGAAACGATAAACGAGTGAGAAAAATGATTTGCCGCCTTAGAAAGTCTTGTTCAGAAAGCAGCCCCACGAAATGATCGAAGACTCAGGACGGCTTCCGGTGCTGTCGGTCAACACATATAGCAGAACAGACTTACAATCAACTTCATAAAGAGTTCAAGGAGGACTACGTTTATACGTTAAATAAGATGGTAGGTATGAAAGGAGGGTTTCGCCCCTGTCGTGTTCTCGTTTTCGCGTTCTAGTCCTGTTTCCAGGGCGAATTCGAAAGATGTGCCTAGACGCTTGAAGAAAACCTGGCAGCAACGACATAGAAAGAAACGCCTGACCTATTTCTCAAAGTCTACCTGTAAGAACAACTATATTGCGAAGATGAATAAACAAAATAAGACAAAAGCACAAAACTCATCAAGCAAAAAAGAATAGCAGGAATCACTCAAGATTTATCAGAAAGACAGCCCTGGCCGCAGCTGGCAAGGCCTTAAAAAGTCTGATTTAGTACCTCTACCAGAACACTCATATACCAATCAAAAGAAATGAGTAGCTATGCCTTATAACCAATTGTGAAATTCTAGTTTTACGCAACTTGTATAGGCCGCCTAAATTGACGCTCGAGTTTCATATCGAATAAATTAAGGGTTTCAAAAAATCTCTGAGACAAGATGGGTTCATTCTTAGCTCTGATTTTGTCGAATAACTGTATGGGAAAATTTGAGGAACGTTTAATACAAGAGGTAATTCCGAAGCATAAAGTGTTTTAGGATATGAACAAAAACTAAGTTTCAAAGAATTCCATAACGATATGTTGTGACATAACTTTACATTTCGAAGAAAAAGTAGGATGGAATTCGTGATGTAGCCTCGCCGGAAATCAAAGGAGGATTGCCGCGTAGGAAAGACTATTGAATTGTGCGAAAAGTCGTCTTTTCGATATATGGATTATTATTATGTGATCTGGCAGCATGGTAGGCACAGTTTAGATGGTTTATTATTTACAACTTACCAGCGTGAAAAAAATCTTAATTTGGCAATGGAATTAGATATTATGGTTATCAGGAAAGATGGTAAATTTGGCACAGATGTTTATAGGAAATCTGCAGATGCTGGCTATATTCTTTATTTTCTTTCTTATCATAATTACAAAATGAAGGTCGGAATTTTAAAATATCTGATTATTCGGAGTATGAGGCTTGTGGATGAAAATAATCTGACCAAAGAGTTAAGAGGACTGAAGAGATTTAGTCCTGAAGAATAATTTTCCTTTAGGGTTAATTGCTGGTAATATCCTTTTGATGAGGAATACATTTTCAGGAGACTACTTGTTCAGAGATAGGCAAGTCGAGACCTTGCCTCATATTATAATCGTGTAGCCATGTTTTCTTTCTAAGAAGGTAGGATAACTGGTGAGAAAGTGGGGGATAAAGACAGTTTTTAAAGAAACTATGACACTTCCTTCAGTTAGGTCTTCTTTTAGAGAGAAATATAACCCACTATCAAGAGCCGAATGTTACAAGACTATGTGCTCCTGTGGTCAATCTTATGCTGATGAGACCTGCGGGCTATCCGCCAAAGATGAGCAAAAATGTCTGTAAAGGTAGCTGATTTGAGCGGCCAGAGGTGGCTGAGTACAGGGCGGAGACTGGAATTGAGATAGAATGGCCTCGGACGCAGAGGTTTGCTGATTATGCTATGTCTAGTAGGAATTTAATGTGAAATCAAATTCATTCGACGTGATGCAATATTGTTGATTGTATTCAAAATAGGAATTGCCGCAATCCAAAATATTTACAATAATCCATTATTGAAAATGTGAATTGCGAGAAACCGGAATAGCTTATACAGTCACATTTCACACTTCAGCCACTTGAACCAATGACCGTAATGCGAAGTGATGTACCATCACCTATTTTGGGTACAACCCAGTTTCGGGTCCCATTTAAAAATGTTGAGGTATGGCCGAAACCGAAGTCCAGTTCGAATGCCAAAGCCCTATACGATGCAAGTTATTCGAAATTCAATGGCATCATAGAGTCAACTGATTTAATTGTGTGAAAGTTGACTATCAATGTGACTCGAATTTAAATTTTGAAGGAACAGTTAGTCAGAAGGAATTCGTGAATTTGTCCCACCGGAAACTAAAGGAGGATTGTCACGAAGTGAATATTGCTAGTTTGTGCTAAAAATTCTTCGGCTCAGCGTCCTGTAATTCTGATGAACTCGTGTTAAGCTTTCGTCTGTGCCACGACAGGCACCGTCACAATGAGAAACATATCTGAACAAGCTTTGGTATATATAGAAGTCGATTGACCTTGTTTTCGCAACTCGGTCATATTGCTAGGAAGACTTAGAGGAACGCACCTTGTCCGGAGTCCATTGTATGCATAATCATTTACAAAGTCGGACCGTGGACGTGGTACATTCCCAGATGTTTCGCCGGCATCGTCAGTGAGTTATACCATTCGTAGCACCATATTACAACTCATAAAAGAGACAAGTGATATATATAGTATATAGGATAGTTCTCTTGAATAAAAGCTTTTGCAAGAATGAGCGCCAGCAGTGGTGATGTCTATAATGATGGACGAAAGTTCAGCCTTTTTACACCTGGAACAAGAGAGGATGTCTAACGAACTGCGTCAACCTGGACCAAACGGTTGTTCAACAAAAGGAAACAGTTGTTGTATTCTGGTGAGATCTATTTCTGAATATCTTTATTATAGACTTTCATACGAAATCAAAATCTCCACAGCAATGCTATCCCCTTTATTGTCTCACGTTTTCACTTAATTGACCCATTTTGTCCGGTTGCCTTTATTCCTTTCAGACTACATACTCTACAAGAGGCATTTGTGGTGAACCAGGGAAATCTGGATTCATCTGAAAAGTTCTATTCTCACAACTACAGGCTACACACGATCATTACGATCTTACTTGCGGAGGCGGATCATCGTGTAGACAGCCTTGTTGCAACATGCATTCACTACTGGAATCCATCAGATGAGTTTCGCCTTGACAACGAGCTAGGCTAGCAAAGGGGAACAACAGTCGTGGTGGCAACAAAAATCCGATATTTATACTCTGTAAATCGGTATGCAGTACTATTGATCTGGATCCTCTGAGATAGGCTGTTTAGGCTCAGCTGAACCAGCGTAGGTGATGCGCATTTTGTAGCGAGGCGAGGCGAGGCGAGGCACGAGCACCGCTGATACAGAGTTTGAGATCAAGAAAATCTGGCCAAGAGAAGTATCAACCTGAGGCCTTCGAGTGAAGCATAAGTCAGGCAAATTAGGGCCTTGAAAAAGGCTAAAAGGGACATGTGTTGTTGCGACCTGAGATGTCGAGCAAAGGTGGTAGAGACAGGCTGGGCTATCACATGTGTTGATGGTTACTTTTCCGTACAGTCGATCGATCAGTGCAACGAAAAACGGAGAAGAGGCTAAAGATGTATCGAAGTGCAGAACAGCGTGGTTCAAGTCTGAAGATGCTTCAGCTAAGCATGGGGTTTACAGGTGAGAGGAGAGAAGCAGTGATGTCATGGCACAACGGCGTGTCGAGCTGGTCCTCTGAAATTTAGAACCTTAGCGTCGTGGCTGGACTGCAGCCGGCTTGGACGAATTATAGCCTGGCTTCCATGCTTTGGGTATGAATCCTGTTAAAACTACCAATTGGACAGAAGCGAGGTTTAACCTACAATATGTGGGAAATTCAACTGTATCGAGAGGTCTATTCAGTGTAGTGTGGGAGAGTGGTCTTGCAACGAGCCCTGCAGCTAGTCTTAGCTGTCAATACCATTTCTCGCATCAAATTCCGGTACCAAATCAGCGGTACAATGCTGGAAATTGTCATAATCGTCAGAGCAGAGAACGCCGTCTCACAGAAACCCAAGGAGACTCGAAACCGACAATGATGAACACCCGTCATGTTGAGACTCCGAAGAAAAGAGGCATCAAAAGGGTGGAGAAGAAAGTGAGTTTGTCAAGAGGAGGAGGACGAATAGGCCACTTAGTCCGCAGAAATGTTGAGCTCTTTAATGAAAATGATCATTCCTGCTTTGCCCTCTCTTCCCTCATCCCATCACCTTACAACTGATGTGCCCGTCATCGAACAGTCATGGCCCGATATTGAATATCGATGAGGGTACTGATGAAACCTAGGCGAGGCAGAAACTGCAGTCCAGCCTGGATGAGAATATCTTTGCAAAGCAAGGCTACGTGAATTGAAGATATGAAGACCAAGATGGTGTGGCCTCTGGTATGGTCACAGTCTCCTTTCGATTTATAGAAGCAGGTTGACCTAAGGTATAAAGACCAAGATGGTGTGGCCCTTTGTGTGGTCGCAGTCTCCTTTCGTTGAATAGAAGTTGT